TTCGAGAAAAAGAAGAAGCAGCAGGATTGGTCTGAAACTTACCAAAATTGGCTAAAATTATAATAATTCTAAAATTAGATATGTTTTAAATCTATATCTATCTATATTATATTAAAAAGAGGATAGTAAAACATCGATATTCTATATCTATATTATATTAAAAGGAGAGTAGTGAAGCATGAGGTTAAGCCCAGTGGCATGGTGAGAAAATGCCACTTGGCAATTTTATGGAATCTATTTGTATAACATTGAAAATAATTATTAATTGTTATTCTTTTGGATCTAATTAATAATTGAAGAAAAAAATCTGTTGGGAAAGAAAGATGAAATCAAGCTATCCGTGAACATATATTACCATATCTATGTTATATTATATATAAGTTCATGGTTTCCTTCAAAAAATTATTATTTGATATTTTTTTTGTATCTAATTAATAATTAATTTTTTTTTGTGGGCATGAAATATGAAAATAGAGCTGTCCGTGAACATATATAACCATATTTGGAGTAATATTACATATGACAAATATTCTGTTGAAATATGAAATGCTTTGAGTTAATAAGGGTAAGAAAAAAGGTATGAAATATTCTGCTGACATAAAAATGGAAAGAAAAAATTCTTTCCAAAAACGTGTTATGGACCAAAGTCCAAAAATAAGTAAAAGAAAAAGATCATTGTGACATGACAATATATGATTACTCACACAGTCACACTTGCCATACAAAATTACATGATCATCGATTTGTAATACTATTAAGAATTTCTTTTAAGGTAAGAAACCTTTTTTTAGAAAGAATTAACTAAAATTTTGTTTTGTATCTTACACATTAATTTTAAGTTGAAATAATAATTGTATATTTAGTACAAGCTTTGTATCTGACCTTAATTGCGAACAATATACATTATTATAGGTATCTTTAATTAAATTTTATGTATAATTCGGTTATGGTAGGTATTCTTTTTTAAGAAAAAAATAATTAAATAAATATTTTGTATCTTACATTTAAATTATATTAAAGGAAATCTATGTTAAAAAAACTAACAAGAAGATAAAGGAAAAATACAAGAAAACTTATGGTTTGGTGGTTAACAAATTTTAATTAACCTCCAAAAATAACGTTGAAAATTAAAAAAAGCCAAAAGCTAAAAAATGAAAGATGCGTATCATTTCTTCAGAACTCACACATACAAATTGATTACACATGCCTTTTCTAGATATTAGGATTTCATATACTTAAAAATTGATATACTACCATAGTCTTTCCTTAGAAATCTTTATTTAAGCAACTTTTGTTTACGGTTGGCTTCTCTACATTGCTTAGGGTTTAGCTTCCACACAAACTTCTGCAAAGTATGGCTCCAAACTATAACTATATCAGCGAAATATCAATGTCCAAAATGAGGTCGAATTTGAAGGTTCGTGTTGTTAGATTATGGCACGTTCCAGACCGCGAGAAACCAGAAAATTCTAATTCAATTGAACTAATTATTCAAGATGGAAAGGTGCATACTCTTTTACATGTTGTTATTTTTTTCGAGTTGTGATGTATTTTCTTCAACTTATGCGCCTTACTAACTTAAATTTCTTTCCAAATTTTTTATTTTAGGGAGATCGGATTCATGCAACTATTGGAAGAGTTGTTATGCGAATTTTCAAAATAAAAATACATGAAATGGAATTGTATGTTATGAAAAACTTTGTGGTTGGACCAAACAATCTGAAAAATAAGACCAGCAAGCATAAATTGAAACTGACATTTTCTCATAGGACGAGTGTGGATGAAATTAGTGATCCACAGTTTAGTTTGAATATCTTCAACTTTAAGCCTTATGACAACAACAACAACAACAACAACAACCCAGTATAATCCCACAAGTGGGGTCTGGGGAGGGTAATATGTACGCAGACCTTACCCCTACCCCGAGGGGCAGAGAGGCTGTTTCCAGGAGACCCTCGGCTCAAGAAAGCAACAAGAGACGATATATTAGTACTATCAATAGACTCATAATAAAATAACATAAAATAACATAGAATACATAACATAACATAAAATAACAAAATAACAGCAGTATAAGAAATATAGGAAATACGAAAAGGAAGGAAAGTATACTAATAACCAACAGATAAAGCCCATCATTAGTAGCTGATCAGAAGCATCCTACGACTAACTCCTAACTGGTTAGTCTCACTCTAGTGCGCTGTAGAAATATTCACAACTTCCCCCTAACCTACAACCTTAATGCTCGACCTCCACAATTCCCTGTTAAGGGCCATGTCCTCAGTAATCCTAAGTCACGCCATGTCCTGCCTGATCACCTCTCCCCAATACTTCTTAGGTCTCCCTCTACCTCTCCCCGTGCCCACCACAGCCAGTCGCTTACACCTTCTCACCGGTGCATCAGTGCTCCTCCTCTGAATGTGCCCGAACCATCTGAGTCTTGCTTCTCGCATCTTGTCCTCCATGGGGGCCACACCCAACTTCTCTCGAATATCTTCATTCCTAATCTTATCCATCCTTGTATTCCCACACATCCACCTCAACATCCTCATCTCTGCAACTTTCATCTTCTGGATGTGTGAGTTCTTAACCGGCCAACACTCGATCCCATACAACATGGCAGGCCTAAGCACTACTCTATAAAACTTACCTTTCAGTAACGTTGGCACTTTCTTGTCACATAGGACTCCCGTCGCTAACCTCCACTTCATCCACCCCACCCCTATAGGGTGTGTGACATCCTCGTCGATCTCCCCGGCCCCTGAATAACTGACCCAAGGTACTTGAAACTATCCCTCTTAGGGATGACTTGAGAGTCAAGCCTCACTTCCATTCCCACTTCCGTCGGCTCGGCCCCAAATTTGCACTCGAGGTATTCCGTTTTCGTCCTGCTCAACCTGAAACCTTTTGACTCAAGGGCATGTCTCCAAACCTCTAGCCTCTCGTTGACGTCGCGTCGTGTCTCGTCAATTAGGACTATGTCATCAGCTAATAGCATGCACCATGGCACCTCCCATTGAATATGATGCGTTATGGCATCCATCACCAGGGCAAATAGGAAGGGGCGGAACGCAGACCCTTGGTGCAACCCTGTAACAACCGGAAAATGCTTGGAGTCGCCTCCTACTATCCTAACCCTTGTCTTAGCTCTATCATAGATGTCTTTAATCACCCTAATGTAGGCAACCGGGACCCCTTTAGCCTCTAAGCAGCTCCATAAGACCTCCCTAGGAACCCTGTCGTACGCTTTCTCTAGATCGATAAACACCATGTGGAGATCCTTCTTCTTATCCCTGTATTGTTCCACCATCCTCCTAATAAACTTGAGGTTGATGAGAATGAATTATTCGGTAATTGTTTTACCTTTCGCTATTTTTTGTTGAATGTTTTATCACCTCATTATAACTATTTGTTTAAATGTGGCAGATGTCATAGGAGAAGTTATTGGTCATGGTGACGTAGAATCGTAAAATCAAGATGGTAAAACAAGTACCTTTATGAACTTGGAGCTTGAGGATCATGAGTACACTTGCAACCATGAATTGAATTAGTTATAGATTCAATTACTATTATTTTCTCATTATTAATTTGTGTATTTTGCTGTGACGATCCGACCGGTTTGCCTTTTTAGAATCCTGTTCCCCCCAAATAAACTCTTCGTACTTGCTTTAACTAATTTATGACCTGCGGGGATGGTTGGTTCGGGATTTGGAAGAGTTTGGATTGAAATATGCGCATTTGACTCCTTAGGATTTTTATAAAAGGCTAAGTTTGACTTTGATCAACATTTTGAGCAAACGGGCCCGGATTCGTGTTTTACGGTTCCGGAGGGTCCGCAGGAAATATGGGACCTGGGCGTATGCCCAGAATCGAATTCCGAGGTCCCTAGCCCGAGTAATGAATTTTTATTAGAAATTGTTAAATTGGAATTCTATGGATTTAAAGAAACTAATTAATGATTGATCACGTTGGTATCTGGCTCGTATGTTGGTTCCAAAGCCCAGTACAGGTCCAATATAACATTTAAGACTTGCCCGCAAAATTTGGTGTCAATCTGAGTAGTTTAAGGGCATTTTGGCCCGTTAGAGAAAAATTAAGAACTTGAAGTTGATAAGTTTGATTCAATTGGTTTTAGGGGGTGATTCTAAGACTTCAGCTCTAGAGCTGAAGTTTTTGTTTTGTAACTGGGGAACTTCAGCTCTAGAGCTGAAGTTTTTGTCTTTGTAACTGGGCTTCAGCTCTAGAGCTAAAGCTTTTGTCTTTGTAATGGCGTTGTTTCGGGCGATCCGAAGGTTCGAGTAGGTTCGTTTCAGACTTGTCGGGATGTTCGGGCGGGGCCTGGAAGCCCCGAGCGTCAATCGGACGAGGTTCGAGTGAAGTGGAAATTTTTTAGAAGTGTTGAAGCTGCTGCTTCTGTCATAACCGCAACTACGGTTGGTGGACCGCAGGTGCGAGACCGCAGATGCGGCCCAAAGCTGGCCAGGCCAAACCGCAGAAGCGGTGTCGACACCCCCTTTTTCCTCGCGGAATCGGGTTCACGACATTTGGGAAGACAACTCTTTTCCCACTTTGGGAATTGGGTTTTTTGAGAGTTTGGAGAGTCGCCACCTAATGATTATAGTGCATGAGGACACTTTTAGAAGAATTAAAGATGCAGACCAGAGTTTTGGGTAAGGGCTTGAAATTATCTTGAGGGGAAGGTGTTAGGCACCCCTCAAGATCCACTAGTGTGGTTCCCGGCCATGCTACAATTGTGACTTTAGATGTAAATGTAAATAAACAAGTACAAGAAGCACAAAAGGTTAAAAGAAGTACTGAATTTTAAAGGAGCAATTTTTGTAAAAAACGTGCAAGTAGAGGAAAAGGTCAAGTACTTAGTGCAAATAATCCGAAAGATCATGCGAGAAGCCGAAATTGAAAATGCAATAGCTTTAAAGATTCAGAAAATTTTGTTAAACTAATAAAGAAGGAGAAAGGGGTCCTAGTTTTATACATTACATGGATCATTCGCACAATACTGGTACTCAGTTGTACGCGGAGTGTTATCGTGTAATCATCATCTCCATGTCCACCCTTCCCACCCCGTTAAGGTATTAAAGCGCGGAACGGTATCGTTTACTTATCGCATGCTACTACCCGTCCCGATCTTATTAGTCCCGGGGTATTAGGACATCTAATCCTAAAGGGGAAGAAAGGGATGAGGGCCTTTGTGGATTTTAAAGGATAAAATTCTAGCTCGACATTAAAAACAAGTATCAAGTAAAAGGGGAGGACAAGCAAGCATACAAGGCTCAAATTAACCCCAGAAGTCAAACAATCATTTAGTTTAGCATGCCTTAACAAATACTGATTTGGTCTTAGATTAAATTAAGCAGCGAGCGGACTGGTTCAACACATGTATTTAAACAGAGAGTCTGGATTAGGCAACTCGGATATTGTTGTCAGGGACTGACCCAATTCATTAATTAACCAACCTTTGTTTATGAGTTGAAATAAAAACCTAGGCGTAGGATCTATTAATTTCAGGAAAAAAGATGCAAAGAGTTACCAGTAGTTTCAAAAAAGATGCAAGTTGATTTTAGAAAAAGAATTATCAGTTTAAACAAAGAGAAAAGATGCAAACCGATTTTAGAAATGAGTTACCAGTTGTTTCAGAAAAGATGTAGACTGATTAAAAGGTTTACGAGTTTCGGGGGAGTGCAGATTAGTTATAGGAAAAAGGTTTACCAATTTTAGCGGGTTTCAGAAGTAGAAAATTACCAGTTTTAGTAAAGACACTAGTTTTAGCAATCGATACTGCTTAAGAACGAATGATGCTATTAAAGACGAGGTTTCCTATAGGCATGCTTTCTATACGTTTACCGATTTTAACACCCTTTCATGACATTAATAGGAGTCTTATACACATGATGTCTATATGCAACTTTGTTATTGAGCCTATAAACGGTTTGCCTAATGACATTTGTATATGCAGAAATGCAAGAGCCTGTAGACATGATCTCTATAAGTGTCATTACAGAACATGAATGTTAAATCCTATAGACAAGCTTTCTAGGTGATTTTGCGGTAAAGTTAAGCGTTAAATCCTATAGACATGGTCTCTATGTGATTGAATCAGTATTAAAGACCCTATAGGCAGGATTTCTAGTTTGAATAAAAATCCTAACTCATGATTTCTACCCCTTTGGATACAAGAAAAGTAAAGACCCCTCCCACACCCTTTTACTATACTCCCCGAGTTTCATACAAAATTATTACAATCCAATGAATCAAACTGGAAATTAAAGATACATCAAAAGCTAACAGCTAGATCCGAGTAGCCTAATTCAACCTTAATGTCTAATAACATGCGACTGAGCCACTTCCGGGATCCAGATTTTCAAAGCCTTCTCTTTATCCAAGGTGTTTCAAAGTTCCAAGGAATCTCAGGGATTCCAGGCATTGCTTACACCCAGGATACTATCAGAATTTAGAATAGTGCAGTGTGGAAGAGCCGGCTTTCATGCATCCAAGTTCAGAGGGAGCTTGGGGGTCCCAAAGCATGGCTTGCAAGAGAGGGGCAGAACTTATAGCTAAGGGTAAGTGCAAAGTGAAAGGGAATTGGGGGGCCATGACAGGTGGTGGTCATACCTAGCTACAAAGTAGGCTGGCACACCCCTGACCACTTGTTTGGTGAACACGTTAGGAGCAGACCTTTGAAGGTCAGACCAGAGTCTGGATAGTGATTAGGACACTGCCAGACCCAAGTCTAAAGCTCAACAACACATAAAGGGGGAAAGGGAATGGGAACTGATTGAGTTTGGGATTCAAAGAATCCAATCCAGAATCATGGACAACAATATTAGAGTGTTGTCATGCCCCGAACCATAACTCACCTATAAAGGGGT